TACAGCCCAGCATTAAATGGAAGTCAGCTGTGTAACACATACACATGCAAGGATATGCACACTAAACAACAACATGAACAATGCTTGCATATTTACCTAGTCCTGGTAGGGAACACTTCTTGGGGGGAGGGAAAAGGTGTCAAACAACTTGGGCTTTTGATATTTCTCCTCAATGCACACAGTGTGACCCCAACCACAGTCTTTATATGGGAGGACACAAATTCACTAATTTATACATGAGGTATTTTTCAAGCATGACTTTCCAACAGAAACAGGGATTTTCTCCTACTTCCATCTTCTAAATGGTAAGAAGGCAGATGACATCAATACAGAGGTTTTGTTGCAGAACTCACAGACTTTGTACCAGTAAAAAAAGTGGACTTTCCTACATCTTCTTTCCCCTAGAGTTACTTAACAACTATCCTTCCCTCATCCCTTATGAGACAGACAACTCATATTTGGTTAATGTATCTCTAAAAGGCAATAAAAAAGTGTCCTACTTTAAGCTAATTTAATTCAAAATTGCCACTCAACTTCTACTGGTGTGCTTATTTGCAGTACTTGACTAATTGACACAACTTTATAGGGCTTAGAAAACAAATTTTAAACTATCTCCCTGGAGGACAGGAATTAAAATTAAATGAAAAGAAAGCAAAAATATGATGTCAATTCCTGTCTCCACAAGACTACTCATTTAAAAAGTTAAACTGTGTAACACCATCATTGACAAGAAAACACCATGTCTTGTAGACACAGTCCTGTTAAAATAAAATAAAATTAAATTAATAATCCAATCAGTAAAGGTGGTGTTTTCATCCAACACCACGAAGTACCCACCTAACTCATCCTCTCTCCCTTCCCCCACAATTCCCCAGTCAGTAATCAAGAGGAGAGATAAAAAAACCTTGAATTCTGTAAAGCTGTAAGGGAAAGGAAAGGAAAAGTGTTTGGTTTTCTTATAGGGAACAAAAGCCATCTGTAGACCTACCACAGAAACACCAGGCTACTGAAGCAGAAGTTTTCTTCTGTTGTCTGGATAACACAAGTGTCCTTTTACAGTAATTTTATTTAGGAAACAATAATGATTCAATATCATAGAGATACCTAATACATGTACTGGCAAAAAATAGAACAAGGAGAGGACACCTAGTGGTAGTCTGTGATGCTCAGGGCTGGTAGCATGGAAGTAACATATGAAATTTTTAATGCAGGACCTGATTTTGCAAAGCTCTTACACACTTAATTTTTGAGCACTTTAGTAAGACTTAGTATTCCTGCAAGCTTGTATTTATGAGCTTTTGTGAATCAGCATCACTCTGATTTATCAGAAATAAAATAGCAAAACCAAAATATGTCAGTGTGATATGCTCAGAAACATGTTTAATTAAGCACCAGTGCTTTAACAACAGCTAGAGTGAATATCAACACTTATGTAGGTTTACGAGACTTAAAAAGGTTTGGCAAATTGAAAACCAGATTTCAATACAAGTTAAACCAAATAAGGACATGGCTGCAATTTACAATTTTTTGCATATTTTACTACATGATTTTTTGCAAAACATAACCTTTATTGCCCATGTTGCAATAAGCATTAATTCACTTTAAAAGTTGTTCTAATTCTACATAATCAAATGTCTGAGAACAAGAAAGACTTAGAGCACATTTTTAGAAGAACCAATTCTATTTATTCATACATTTACTAGGTCTTGTCCTGTGATCATAATATCTGTAAGTAGAACTATTGAAGTCTGAGTTTTAAGCAGCTTTTGGAAAATATTTTTATTTTAAAGAATCAGTAAATTAATAGCACTGACAAATGTAAAGTGGCATATCATTAGACACGTAATGATGTATTTATTTGTAATTGTTTATGTCTTTTATTTTTAATTGTTCATTGATCTATGAGCATATTTAGCTAAGAATAACTTACTAGTTGCATGTAAACCTATGTTAAACATTCAAGCAGTTTAGTCAGTCTCATAAAACTTAAAGTAAATAACAATTAGGTCCTGTACCTCCTGTTCAGTATTTTTAGGAACCTAAAGTTAAAAAAAAAATCAAAAGCAAACTCCCGTCACAAATTACTGCAAAGTATAATTTCTGTAATCAACAATTTAAATATTTTTTTTCTTGTATGTTATTACATACAATTTAGCTTAAGTAACTATATGATCTATATGTCAACACCTAAATTCAAAGGACTGGAACATTAGACATTGTAGCTCAAAAGCAGTTTTAGGAAAGTGTGCATTTGCAAATTCAGTACATTATTTCCTGCCAAGATATCTCCTGTCCCTTTCTTAAAGTCTTGCTTCCTATTTCCACTGAGCCATTCATTTGGATAAGCAATTAACATCAGACTGATATGAATATATCAATCAGATTTCATATATACTGCACCACAGGCTACAGCTGTTCCATCATAACACTTAATGCAGAGAAAGCTTCTGCAATGCATACATTATTTACCTCAGTATTACTCTATGTGGCTGTTAGCAGCTTGATCTTGATAGAATTGATTTAAATGATGTGGAAATAAATAAAGGAACAATGTTTCACCAGTGTCATACAAAAATCTTTTAAATTTTTAACCACTGATCCTAATCAGAATATTGACCTTGAAGCTGAAGTCTTACTGATACCTAAAGGAAAAGCTCAAACAATGTCAATGTCCCTTTTCTCTTTGAGGATATAGAAATACCTCAGTGGGATAGCTGCCTTACGGTACAACTTGATTTGTTCATCAATCAATTTTCCATGAAGTATCCTCTTGGCATGTTATGAAGAATGAGTTTGCTGACTGTCCTCTGAATATTTTAGACATAATGGTCACTATTTTTGATCCAAATACATATGTTTCAGATTTATCTGCACCACATTTAAAACCAATATGTCAGCCCCTAAGCGAAAACTATTAAATCCTTTTAACCACATGCAAACAGGCTCCAGTTCTGTGTCACAAAAATTAGTTAACAGTTGCTCCTTGTTGTCCATGTCCAAACACACACATGTAGAGAACATGAATATCAGCAGCAAAGTCTCACTGACTACCCCTATAGGATCATCCATCCATTGTTTCCCAGTTCCGCAAAGGTCATCCTTACCCAGCTTTTTTGTTTGTTTGTTTGAAAATATTATTATAACACACATTTTCTCCGAAGCCATATATGACAATCCATGACCTCCTTCATTTCTGACCTCTGTAAAATGCTAAACAAAAATAAAAACAGACCAAAAAAAGCCCTTTTTTTTTGCACACATTTCGTTTATCAGAGCCTGATTCAGACTGCATATTTACATGTGTTTCTGCATATGAGAACCTTTTGCAAAAGCACCCAATAACTTTCTCGCTGCTCTACTGCATGTTCAAAAAAACCCCAACCAAACAAAACAACCTTCCTGAGGACACATTTCACAAATTTTACTAATGGAATCAAAGGTGAAGTTGCAACCAATCAGCCATTAGCTAAAGATTAAATGGACCAAACACCAACTATTGCTGGTTTGGACCACATCCACTGGTCACTTCTAGTCTCACTTAGTGGCCTATTCAACTATTTTATTTAGAATACCTGATTTCTCTTTGACAATATACATTAGGGAGGAAAAAAGGAATTCATTTCTCTGCCTAGTAGGCATTTATAGTGGCAAGCTCATAATTTGAGCTGCCAGAAAATAATGTCATTGAACGCATTTCAGAAGGTTGCCTCTTTGTAAAGCACAAAGGAGACAAAAGCACAGTTTTATGGTAGAACTGCAAAATATGCTTAATCATTTGCCTTAGTTAAACAGCACAAAACTATAGTGCTCTATTTCTGTGCAAAAAAACTATTACACTGCTTTACAGAGAGGCAAAAAGAAGTAGAATTTACAAAATAAAAAATAATTACCTATTTCAGAGGTTATTTTAAGAAACAACTATAAATTTATTTATATAGACTTCTGATACTTAGGATCATCCAGCATTATATCACTTTAAAACATAATCTGACTTTATTTGTGAGATGGAGCTGCATTTAGGTTTCTGTTAAGCCAGAAAGTGCATACAGTACTGGAGATTAGCATCAGAAAAAGCACCAGAAATGGTACCAAATCTTCCCTCGATATTAATTTAATTAAATAAATCTTGATCAAATTGATTTATGGAAATCAATTTTAATAATGCTTCCATGATAATGCTCTACAAAATAATTCTCATTATGTTTACTTCAAGAAAGGTTTAGAAGACAGCAGTGTTTTTTCCTATGGTTTTAACACTTCTGTTTAAAACATTGTGATATTTAGAATTACAGAAATGAGGACAGGCAAGTAACAAAATGACTGAATTGTGGTGGTATGTGCCAAAGCATTAGATGCTTCCTAGCCGTGAGTATGCCAAATTAGGGAATGCCATAATTTCCTGGAAAAGGCAGCATGCCAAACTGGCAGGCAGCATAACACCATATCTGGAAACAGTGGAGTTGGCAGTTCAGAAGGCAATGACTCAAAATTTGGACTACCCATTTTTCAAAAAGAAGGCCAGTATTTGATATATTCAGGCTACATACAGCCTTCAAATAAGGAGAATTCTAGGAAATCTACTCAATAGTAAATTATTTCAATTTCTCCTATAATAGAAAAATATGAATATGTATTTTAAATTCTCTTGACTACAAGAGTATTAACTTAGTAAGTTTAAGTGCTAGTCACGAAAATCCAATGAAGATTTAGGTGTTTGTTGAAATTCTCAGTATTCTTACTAGGAGTTCATCCATGCTAATTGTGTTGATGGTCCCAAACATATTTTGACCTCTGTGATTAGCAGGGAGACTCTAACTAATGGCTACTCTAAGCCATTTTTTTCCAAAAAGGCCTTTTCACTAGCACCTGTTTGTAATTACACCAACTGGTGAGTAAAAACTCTATTACGTTCTTGTTCTTGTGTACCTCTTCAGAGAGATCTGACTAGTGTTCTGTAGAAATAAGTTCTTAGTGAATGATGTTAGAACCATAAATCTTACCTCTTCCCACTGGTGTATGTATCTAATCAGTCTTGAAAGGCGCAATAAACGTAACAGGCTGAGGATTTTTGTAAATCTCACAATACGAAGTGCTCTTGCTGTCTTGTAAACCTCTGAATCCATTCCTTTTTCTACAATGAGAAAGATATAATCCACTGGTATTGATGAGATGAAGTCAACCACAAACCAGCTTTTTAAGTAATTCATCTTAATGATTTTAGGGTCCAGTATGATTTCAGAGCTGTCTTCATTTACAGTCCCAGTTCTAAAATTCATGATCAAGTCCAATAGAAAAACAGTGTCTGATGCCACATTGAAAATAATCCATGGTGTTGTTGTTTGTTCCGTGAAGAATGTGATTCCAACAGGTATGATGACAAGGTTTCCAACCATCATTATGAGCATGATTAAGTCCCAGTAAAACCTAAAAAAAAGGGAAGAAACAGAATGGTTGATGTAACGTGGTAAAACACATCTATACAAATGGTCTCTATCGTGCCATCAACTTCACCCCCAGATTTTGTTAATGCTAAGAAAGTTCTCATTGTTTTAACCTGTTCAATATGTCAGTAAAGACAGTCAGTAAAGACAAAGTAACATATTTCATTAGGTGCCTTCCTTCTTAAGAATATGCATCTAGAATAAAGAGAGTACTATGGCTTATGACTCCATGGCATATCACACACTGAGAGGTGTGTATGCATACTCCTGTCAAAACCTCTTTGTGATGTTATATGGACAAAACTGATGTCTTATGCCAATCAGAAGCACTTTAGCAATCAAATAGTTTTTTTAAGACTTCTGTCCAAATGGAAAGCCAAATATCTAATAGATAATATATTAAATGTTAGTACCTCTTTGCAAATATACAATTACAATGCTGGAATAAAATTACAGGAAGAGAAAAAAATAGAAACAATAATTAGATAACATCAAAACCTTCATCCACTTTTTCAACCTTAATTGAACTTCCATGCATTTTTACAATCTCATAGTCTACCTTCTCTCAGAGCTAGCTTAGAAGTTTTAGCAAGAACAGTTGCAATTCACATAGCATAAAATGTATACTGCATTTCACTATTTTGTTCCAGAAGTATCTAAAGGATCCCCTCTAACTCTGTTAGAATGCTGCTAATCACACTTGATACAGACGGTAGAGAGCCAGAGTCATAACTTTAAAATTTATTATAGAAACAGTGAGTAAACCCACTTCTTACACAGATTATCTATCCTGATGGAAGATTTCCAAGGGATGGTAGCATACACCTGATTTTAAGCAAGTTATGATAAATCCTAAGTGTTAAATTGTCAAAGAAAGTTATTCAATAAAAGAACTGAAACTGGACTTGAGAAAGCCTAAACCCAATGCATAACCCCTCGTGGTGCCTGAGAACACGATCTGGTCAACTTAAATTGATCTGACGAGGTACAGAAACAAACCAACAACAGTTGCCTCATTAGACTTTCTAGAAGAATAGAGGCAGCAATGGCTCCACTTCTATCTCTCCTCTGTCCTTCCATTGCAACAGCACCTGGTGTAATGGAGATGTGATGGACACACTACCAGCACATCACTTCAAGACTGACTTCCATGCCACTTCTATCATACTAAAACCAGCCTCCTGACATGCAACAGGGTTCATCTTGGTAAAGGTTGATGCCAATCAACAATAATGATAGTTTAGTTGGCCATTAAACATTTCAGAATTGTAAGCCTAGTTTTTGACAGACTTGCACAGACCATATGGATTACATTAGATTTCAGAATTGCTTCTTGTATTCACCAGATGATCATAGAACCATAGAATGGTTTGGATTGGAAGGAACCTTAAAGATCACCATATTCCTCTCCCCCAGCCATGCACAGGGACATCTTCCACTAGACCAGGTTTTGCTCAGAGCTCCATCTGGCCTGCCTTGAACACCTCTAGGGATGGGGCAACCACAGCTTCGCTGGGCAATCTGTTCCAGTGCCTCACCACCCTCACAGCAAAGAACTTCCTCCTAATACCTAATCTAAACCTACTGTCTTCTAGTTTGAATCCATTCCTCCTTGTCCTACCCCTATTCACTTGCATAAAAAGTCCCTCTCAGTCTTTCTTGTACGCTCCCTTCAGGTACTGGAAGGCCACAATTAGGTCATGCTGAAGCTAGGCTGAATAATCCCAAAGATCCAGGTTTATAAATTCCCTTTTTTCCATGTTATTCTGTGCAAATGCTTCTGAGTTTACAAATTGCTGATCTGAGAATATCAATAATTAAATGTAACAGTAATTAAATGTTAAAGGAAGAGTAACATAGGATTGAGAATGGCACGAGAATTCCCAGTTTTAAAACTGTTCATTTCAAGAGAAATCTAGAGAGATTAGGCTTAACTAGCATTTGAGAGAAGTGCTTGGCTAAGTACCTCTAACTGGTGCTCAGAAACTGCATGAAATAGACTTTAAAAATAATTCCCTGTGTACCACAATGTGATTTGTGTCTTACACATTCTCAGTTTTGCAATAAATATGAATACTAAGTGCTAAAAATGTTCAGTTTTATTGAGGCTATATGTATTTTTGTTTAGCATATGATGGTATTCACCATATCTTTGATCTTTTTAAATTCATGTAACAACCTTCCCACTGTGCTAGATTCCTTTTCAGTAATCTGGAATTACCATACACAAGGAATCTCTAAATTCTTATATCACTGCTACTATGATTGACAGGTAGCTAGCTACCACAAATACTTTTACAATGCTATCAGCCAAACTATTTCACAAAAGTGTCCTTGGAGAATAAACATCTTCAAGGAATCTTGAAAATGGGTGGAAAACAAATAGGAAATAATCACAAGAGGTGTCCTGGTATCCTGTGTCTGTCTCTCTGATGCAAAGCACTGCTAATTTCAGACTGACCTGTACCTTTCATCAGCACCAGGAGCAGTTACACAACAAAGGCCAACCAAAGCTGCACAACCACCAGCCACCCAGCCAACGAAAGAGATAATGCAGAACCAGGTGTTTTTAACCTACGGTAATCCGGGGTTTAAAGGATCATCTTGTACTGTGATTATGCAAAACACACATGAGTTCTTGATGCTGAATGTCAGCAAAAGTGGTAGCATTAGGGCTAAAATAATACTGAATGCTTAGGAGTAAGAGACTGTACCACTTCTATATTTTGATTTTATACCACAATATGGTGTAAGCTGATTAGTTAGCAGGAAAAATCCGTATAATTTTTCATTTAGGAAAGCATCAGACATTTTCTTTTAGAAAAATATTTCCAAGTGGTAAGAAGTTGGCCATGTTATATTTCTTTTTCAGGTAAGAAAACTAGATGCAAACCTCTGTATTACCCTTCCTTGACCTGTGCAGAGAAAGTAATACAATGCATTCCTTGCCTGCAGTTCAGAACATTCTATTATTCACATAACAAAGAGCAAGCTGTAAAGCTTCACAAGATAGTGCAAGGAGCTGCTATTGAGACACAGAGATAGCATTATTTATTTATTTATTTATTTATTTATTTATTTATTTATTTTTGCTACCTCCCCCTAAAAAATGAGGGTTATGAATCTACAACAAGAAGTATTAAAGTATAGAAAGTATTAAAGTATAGAAACCAATTTTAAAGCATTTTTTTTTCAAAGCTTTAGAAAATTATTTTATACAGAAATATTAAAAAAATGACATTAGTTATTACTTTAGAATTCTCAAATAAAACTAGCTGGATTCATAGGCGTCTTTCATTGATCTTTTCACTCATAATTTATTTACTATATTTTCAAAATATACGGTAATAACAGTGTTTATTCAGCTCTGGAACACAGTGCTGAAGCATTGGTACTTTATTCACTGACACAGGCTGTCCTGGATAGGATGAACAACCTATTAAAAATAAGTGTCTATCCAAGTAGCAATAAATAATTATTTAGTAATAATTAATCACTGTTTGTATTAAGTTTAATAATATAAGGCACTATGAATTCTAACAGGCATTTTATTTTCCACTTTATATGTCCAACCCAGAGAAAACTGAATCTTAAGGAAGGAAATTTCATCTCAAAGTTAATTCACTGCATAATTTGCCATACAAACAAATTCAAATTTGCTTGCTTCATTATTTCCCATTGCTGGCTATCAACAGCAAAGTCTCGATTTCCATGAATCAGTGTTGTTTGAGATATGATTATTTTTATGGTACACACAGACTGAACCAGCAGAAGTTGTCAGTAGTCTCACAAACCACACAGTAGAGTGAATGGCAACTCTAAGGCATGGAGTGCCCTGACTTGAGGCTACAAGGAAAAGTCAGGACTTTTCCTTAGTTTAAGTTTTCTGAGTTTCGAGAAAAACTGTAAAAGTCTAATTTTTTATTAAAAAGAAGCAAATCATATCACTAAAACTTCATTAAATTCAGTCCTAAATACTCATCAGCCACGTTGCAAACTGGAAAATCTTTCAAAAATATATTAATTCAGATTGCTTGTAAAATATCTTTGAAGCCAAACCTGATGCATCAGAGAGTAGGTTTTCTGATCTCACATTCACTCTGTACATTCAGAGAATGAAGAACTGTAAAAAAAATTACAAGCTTTCCATAGAAAACTTGTTTCCTCTTTAGCTAAATATTTTGATTGACTAGCAGATGCTCAGTGAAATGAGCACTGACTTTTTTTTTTTTCTCACCTTCAAACAGAGCTTTATTTCTTTTGCTTTCATGGATCATTGGTTCACCTAAAAGAGAAATCAGTGTCCTATATAGAACAAAACAATCTCAGTAGAAATAATGTTATTTAAAATTTTATTATACTATGCTGTAACAAACACCAAACTCAGTATTATTATGTAAGAATTTGATTCTCATAGGGCATGACATCTTTATCTGGTTGTGCAACTATATTCTTCTTCTAGTAAGAGGGAGTAAAGCTAGACATGCCTGGAAACATCTGCAACATGCAGATTATTACTAGGATGTGTTGGAAAGGTCAGAAGAATGAGTAAAGGACTTTTTTTCAGATGACCCAATTCTTTTAATGATTGCACAGGTGTCCATGCTTGAAAACTTTCTCAAAAATCATCAATAATTTTTTTTACAACCTTAAAATGAGGATATCCCCTTCTGACCAGCTATCCATTTTCATTCATAGAATAGAACAGAATCATAGAAACAAACTGGTTGGAAAAGACCTCTGAGATCATCATGATCCAACACCACTGTGGTTACTAGACCACGGCACTAAGTGCCACATCCAGTCGCATCTTAAAAACCTACAGGGATGGTGAATCCGCCACCTCCCTGGGCAGCCCATTCCAATGCCTGATTACTCTCTCTCTAAAAAATTTCTTCCTAATATCCAACCTAAACCTTCCCTGGCACAGTTTAAGACCATGCTCTCTTGTCTTACTGCTGGTTGCCTGGGAGAAGAGACTGA